AAGGAAGGCGCTACAGTCGTCGAAAACCTTAGAAAGGCCCCACTTCGCATGATTGAACAAGCAAACACGCATCGTCGACCTTCACAGTATGCATGGAAAATCGGATATGTATAGAGGTGCAGTGGTATCTCTATGATGTATGATGGTCCGTCCTCTCCTCCTTTGACTTCTAGGACAGGTCATGACCCTCTGTACCCGGGCAAAAGCTTCTGTGAGATGTTTTCCTCTGGTGCGAACCAGCGAGCGGTTCCCTTCACGGAGATCTATGATTATACCAGATATGAATGACACATATGACATGGACCGCATAGTGGAAGAAGACGTCTTTCGGAATATGCATGCCTATGAGAGGGTGAGGAAGGGTAAAGGTCCTGCCTTGGATCAGAGAATTCTCGAAGGACCTCAAATTTAGGATGGCGGGAATGAAATAGTTTCACCCAGTTCGTGTGACAGTTGCAGATCCCAGGGCTCGATCCCTAGACCTAACCCCTATCCCCATGTACAGTACCTGTTGACCCCGTGTGCCTTCCGAAAGTCGTCTGTCAGCAGTCTGTGTGCACTGTCCGATCGCATGGACTTGAACGGTGAGTCTTCCTCTTAGAAATTTTAGGGTTTATCGCATAGGTTAGCTCTAAGTCTTACAAAGGGGCAGTCAATCTAGGCCTAGGAGTTTTTAGAAGTCAGTAGGTGGCTCTTCTGTACTGTAGAGGTCAACAGTCTGTTTCTGAGTCAGCAAAGCGCAGTCAGCCACAATCCACCTTGTCTAGTCAGCGGGTACTAGGTTGGGGGTTCCACGCGATTTGGGCCCCACATGGTTTGGGGGCCCCATGCGTTTTGGGCCCAGGGCCGGGGGCACATCAGGGCCAGCCGACGAAACGGTATAAAGGAAGAGGCAGCACTCAGCTACTCATGCATTCGCTTGTGATCCATGTGGAAGCGCTGCTAGTGCGACTTGTGCAGGGAGGTCTGCAGCTGCCCGAAGATGAAGCGGGCAGAGGAGGACAACGGCGGCCATAGCCGCCTTGAGGAGGAAGACGGCGTTGGCCATAGCCGCCAAGCTGCTCACGTCAACAAAGAGGGTAGAGTAAGAGTGTGTGTGAGTGGGTGGTACATTCAGGGTGGATCCTAGTGCATACATGCGGGAGTGTGTGTGCATCTGATGGTGGATACAGTGTACGAGTGGGACTTCAGACAGGCGATCAGACGCCATAGCTGCAAGTTGTGACAAGTTGACTTGTCCTGAGTTTATGGCCAAGGTCCATATATCTGAGTTTTCCGTGTGGGCGATGTGTGCCATCTCACTCTTGTCGCTGACTCTGCGTCGTGGATGTTCTTCTGCCATCGACATCTGTATGTATGCATGATGGAAGTGAATTTGAAGTCAAGTCTGATTACATTTTTTTTGCTGGGCCCCTCCGTGGCCCTTGCACGACCGGGCTGCCTGGTCAAACAAGGCGACCCGGGCGGCCTGGTTGGCAGCCCACCTTTCAACTTCATTTGCAATCATTGAATAAATAAAACTAGGTGCGAGACCCGGGGCTAGGATGATAGGTCCCAAAGCTTGCCAATGTCAATAGCAATTTTCAAAAACATGTAGAATGAGATTTACTGATGCGAGGATATGCATCCTCGGCATGCCCATGAGGGGCCCTTACGGCCAGCACGAGCCCACCCTTAGTGAAGGCGGCCCCTGAGGGCTGAGATCATCAATTCTGCAAAGCTTTGGTTGGGTCCAGACAGTTGCCACGGGCCAGTTGGTTACATCCGCCCTGCTCGTGATATTCAGAAACATTTGTGAGCCTTCTAGGCTCTTCTCTGGAAGTGGGGAACACCTAATGTTTACGCTGGGTGGCTGGGCGCGCCTAACCAATTTGGTCCCAGGCCACTGTTTGAACAGGCATGCACGCAGACACTTCGGCCCAACCTGAAGCTAATGGGTGCTCGCAGGCCCAGCCCAGGCAGCGAGCAGGCCAGACCACTTTGATATAGGGAAGTGCCTGGCCCTGCATCGGGCGTTCGGGCACTTGGCTCGTGATGCGGCAGCGCTGCCTCTTCGAGCGCACGAGCCGCTAGCACTACGCTAATGCTCGCGCATGTGCGTGGGCGTGGAAGAAAGGTGGGTGCTGCAAGGAAGCAGTGCCATAGCCCAGGCAACCACAGTCGGGCCTGGGGCTGGGTAGCTGGCGGGGTATGGTGGTGGTCTTCGGGTAGTGAAGGCACGAGGGTGGTGAAGACGAGGGTGAGCATGAGAGGGTGAGAGTAGGGAGGTGATATGAGGGCACATACCTTGTCTTGGCGGGTGTCTGCATGGTCGACATCTGCATGTACTTCGGTTGCTGCTGCTGACGTCAACTGATTGTTTCGTCATTTTGTAGGCTGGTAGAAGTGTTGTCTGATCGTAGTCTGGGCGTTGAGCCCCAAGTAGGAGGAAGAACTTCGATCATTGTATTGTTGGTGGTGGCGAGACTATGCTTTCATTGACAATTGAGTTCGATGCTCCTTCGGTGTTTCATCAATGCATTTCTGCTTTTTGGACAACTTTCGACTATTTGGCTTTCATTGTGATTTTACAATATGGAATTTTGTACTTCGCTATTGCTCATTTTCCTTGCAATTTGGTATCGTGAAACGGTATTCACCAGTTCGCAGTAGCTGATGCAGACCCCAGGGCTTGATCCCTAGTTCCCCATCTTACCTGTGTACAGTACCAGTGTCAACCCGTAGAATTGAACCTGCGACCTACAGGACCGCCAGTGGTAGGTAGGATTTCGTAGGTCACAGGGTAGAAGGGATTCGAACTGTAGACCTGTTGAGTAGGAGTCTAGACAGTCCAGAGGTCGTAGCTGTAGACTGTCTGAAGGGTCAAGGTCGTAGCTGCTACTTACCTGAAAGGGCAAAGTCGTAGCTGCTACAG